TAGATTTAGTTTCTTTACAATCCATAAACTCATTATAAAGGGGAATGATGCTTTCTTAAATTTCAACTCCTTGTCACAAAACTTTATTTAGTCAGTAAATTTAATTTTGAAGATTGGTAAAATTAGTTCTTTTCGTTACATTTGTGTTAGCATTTTTTAAACACATTTTAACTTATTTTTCCTACTTCAATTTTTATATTTTGAATATTGTGATTTATATTGTATCAAAAGAATTTTGATCTTCCAAACAAAAATTTGATATTAGTAGACTAGAATTAGCCTAAGGGATTTTTTATTGTGCTTCTCTGTGGGATCGATACTGGGGTTTTTAAAGAAAGCCATATATTACTTGAAGTGATATTGCACTTGTGTAGAACTCCTAATGTGTGAACTATTTTATATATTTTATATAACATTTTGATTTTGCACATTAAATACTTAATATAAATTGGGTCAAGATTTTGACCATATTTTTTATACTAAATTTCTGTGTAATTTCAGGATGGGTCAAGTTTCTGGCAATGTTACCAAGGATTTAAATTGACATAAAACATGCAGAAAAACATCTCACACTATGGGCGCATCAGGTTTTTAGCATCGTTATTGGGGAAGCTACGATAAGAACTTTAGGAGAATTTTAGATAAACATGTAAGACTTAGATTTAGAAATTATAGTACTATTATAGAGTGTGTTTAATTATTGTGTGTTTATTTTAAAGAAAATCCAAAATACAAAAAAAATATTTTTCATATCTTTCCTATTAGTTAAGTCTTTAGATTTATGCGTAGTTCAAGATCTGTAGACCATAAGTTTTACAAGTCAGAGTTGGAGAGAAATTTTGCGAGAGATTTGAAAAGACTCCAAGAATTTAATGTAGTAGTGGTGAATCAATGATATAATAACTATTCAGATTTGGATTATAATGCAGTGGCTTTGAGAGAGTAATCCTTAAGAGAGTGGAAAATTTTCAAAAAGATATGCTTACAATTTTAATTTCTCATGTTGCAGAGATTGAGTGGAAGTTAGATCAATACATAGAAAAATATCCTCAAGGAACCCCAATTATTAAGGAAAATTCATTTGGACAATTGATTGAAACTGGCCATAAGATACATAATTCTTATTCTGATTATTATAATCCTGATTAGGAAAATTATTTGAATTTTAATAGGAAAAAAAATTTTGCAGGAGAAGACAAATTTTGGGAAGATAATCAATTTAATCGAACATGTAGTTGGAATAATCATGGATATTGTAATGATGAACTCTCTTTTCCTCACAATTTCAACTTCAACCCCCAAAATGAGGAGAATGATTTATTAGAAGAGTTTGTTATTCAAATGGAGAGTGATTTGGAGTGTCAAGGGACCACAATAAGGAATATGGAAAACCAATTGGGGCAGATTATTAACTCAATTAATAGGACTCCTCAATTTAACTCCAACCCATACGATGAAGAGAAGCAAGTAGTTCTAGAAGAGGTTGTGATTCAAATGAAAAGTGAGCAAGAAAATCAAGTAATCACAATATGGAATATAGAAAACCAACTAGGGCATATTATGAATGCAATTAACAGTTACCCTCTTGGAGATTTTACCTAGTGACCCTGAGATAAACCCTAAGGAGATGAATAATGAGCAATTTAAAATTTCAATCCATGGTGAGCAATGTTTGATCCTAATGAATTAAAATACTCTAGAGATTATTTAATCCATTAAAAATTATAGACTCAACAAATAATTCTATTTTTTGTCCACATTAGTATCCTCTATTCACTCAGCAAGAGAGTATTTTTATTTTATTTTTATGATTTTTCTAGAGAAAGACATGGATTTTTGACAGTTCAGGCATTTAAATACATCAAAAAAATCCATATTTTTCTACTTAAACATGTGATGCCACCTCATTCTCATTTGCGTTGAACTTTAAAAAATCGTCAATTCACACTAAAATAGTTACTTCCAGAGACTTTATGCTCCGCTATTCGATGCTGCTAGCCACCTCAGCTACCATGCAGCCCACCTTTTCATTCCAAGCATTCCTCCAGCTTGATCTCCTCCATCCATTAAATAAAGGTGTGATCAAACAACTCTCCTTTATCATCGCCAAGTTACCTAAACTTTGAGTCGTTCACACTAAAAACTTAGGATCTCAAGCTAGACTCAACCAAATCACATGGGCTTTTTTTTCTAAGACTTCATATACTCAAAACAAACATATATATATATGGCTTATATGGTACGAAAGATAGTAAATACTATGAAGAAACAATTTAAGCTTGGTTTAGGGTTAATGATCAATATCTTTATCTGAGAGGGGAGGCCTCAATGAGATGGTTGTGGTAGCTTTTATTAGGTTCAATGAACCTCCAGATGAAGTCCTAGGCCCTGGTAAATTCTCTAGGTATGATTTCGATCAAGCTTGATTTTAGGTGTTGGTCTAGAGCTATGTTAGAGGCTATTTAGAGAGGGGCTTTTGTGGGGAATCAACTCCTCTCACTTAATGGATGGGGTGTGCACAGTCAATTGAAGTTTGTTGGAGTGTCGAGTTGTGCAAAATTTGTCTTGGTTTTCCCTAAAGTTTGAACATAAAATTGAGCTCTCACAGAGAAATCCAGAGGTAGAAGATGGTGGGCTTGAGCTTATGAGTTCTTGGAGAGTGTCTGGAAGCAATTGGGCAGATCACTCTGAAGCAATTTGTTTGTCTTATGTCTTTTTCATGCAAGAGGGGTTTAAATAAAATGGGCTAGGGTGGATGCCAGGGCCAATTAGTGGGTGCAAAACAAAGTGCCAAAGCCAATTGGAATTGGTAAGCTTAGATGGGTAAGTTTTAGGTTTGGATGGAGGCATGGGGCTTTCGATTTTGTGGTTTTCCAGTAACTAGGGTGGCTAACAAAAGAAGGGGGTCGTCAAGTAGTCAGGTGAGCCAGGGGGAGGTTTAATTATGCTAAACTTCTAATGTCTTGGAATGATAGCAAGTATATTTTGATTTAGGACTAAAAAATGATAAGATCCCTTAATTAAAGGGACCATTGGTCCATGACTCCCATAGGGTGGGCTAGGTGAGTCTAACCTAGTCAGTAAGGTGCATTTAGTGGCTAGAGTGGTCCTTGGTTGGCCAATTTAGCATGGCTTAATCAATTTTGGTGCATGGGATCAAATTGGATTAAATTATCTTGAAGTTGGTTTTGGATTGGGCTTTCCATAACATTGAGGCCACTGGATTGATCAATTTTGTGTGGATGGTTGTCATGAAAGGTTTATAAAAGATTTGGACTGATTTTGATCTAATTTTGAGGTTTAATTTTAGGGATTTTTGACAATTTGATCAATTTGGGGATGTTAGGTTAAACTTGGGTTTAGATTGGGCTAGAGTTGGGTTAAATCCAAATTGAAAGTTCAAAATGTCCTAGAGGGATGTTACAAAGAGTTCTCAACATCAATTGGGTGCCAATTTTAAGGTTAGGGCATTCAATTTTGTGGAATTTGGGCACATGGCAAATTTGGGAATTTTGGATTTGGGTTGAAATTTAGTGAAATTGAAACTTGAACAAGGTCAATTGAGGGTTGAATTTTTTGTGCGGAGATGTTTCAAAGAGTTTATGATGCATAATTGGGGTAATTGAAAAAGATTGGGGCGTTCAATTGAGTGAGATTTTGGTTTTAGTCCAATTTGGGGCTATTTGATTTGGCTTGAAATTTAACTCAAATGTGAGTCAATTGGACTTGGATTTTGTTCGTATTGAGTTTTATTATGATGAATTTGAATTTATAATTGAAATTAGGGAAAATTGGGGTCAAATTGATGGACATTTAGGGTGAATTTGGGGAAATTGGGCCTCTAAGGGCAATTTGGGGCTTTTGGACAAAGTTGGTCAAATTGATCAAATTGAATTTAGTTGAAGAGTCCAAATTAGTTGCTTACTTTATTTTCATTAACCAAAAGTTATAAAAAGAATAGAATTTTCATTCTTAGTATAGCATTTTAAGTTTAAGTAAGAATATATTGTTAAGTAGATTTTTATAATCTAAAATTTATAAATTTCTAAAGTGCATATTGTTATTTTCCATGTGGGTTTGATATTCGGGGCTTAATCAAAAAGTCCTAAATTGGGTCTCTAACATATTGAATTCTTGCAAGATGAAGGCTATATAAATAAAGAATATTTTTCCTTATCATGAATCAGTATTAAGTATAGAAATTCTGTTGTGGAAGTATGTTACGTGTGTTGTGCCAAATAGAAGCAATTATATTCATTACTCTGACTAGAGATATTATAAAGAACATTGGCTAATCTATGGTTTGAATAAACTTGAAGACTAGTTAGGTAGGGAAGGACCAGCTCTAACTCTAGAGTTCCCTCTTCTCCCTCCACCTAGTGCTAACATATATTTTCAAA